CGCCTTCAAATTCAGACCCTTTTGAGGACAGGTAGGAATAAAGGTTAACAGCAAAGGCCAATTGACAACACACTCTCTTTCTGATATTTTAAGGCATTTTTGCCCCTCAGACTAAAGTTCTTTTGTAAAACAGTCACATCATTATTTTAGTTTTAAAAAATCCTTTTATTTCAGATACAGCATGCTGCTATATACAGAAAAAGTATGGGAACAAAAGCAAAAGCAATACAGAATGGGCAACAGTTTGCCTAAACCTTACAACATGTTTTTAAAAGCCTCAGTACATGATTGTATCTCATATATTATTCATACTCCTAAGTCACCTCTAAGAAAATATGTCCCCTTTCCTTCACAGGTCCTGAGATACCACTTTCCACCTCTCTCTCAAAACAAATTCTAGGTTCAACTGGAAAGCTTTAAGCAGTGTTTTCAGAGATGAGTTTAATAATAGAGCACATTCAAGAAAAATACATTTATCATGTGTAGCATCTTATCTGAAAAAAAACCCATATTTAACCAGGCAAACTAAAAAGATTATTTATTTAGCAAACTTTTAAGCTAGGCTCAATAAGTTTCCTTTGTAATCCTCTACCTTCAACTTAATTTTCTTTACAGTAACAATACCCTACGGAAAAATATAATTTCTCCACTTTCTAAACAGTCTGAAAATGACCTTTGTCCCATTTCCTTTTTTATTTATGGCAAGAAAGTAAAACACCTATGCCTTTCCTTCATCAATGTTTTAAAGTTATAGTTCACTTAGCAAATGGCAAAAGAAATACACCGTACAATGAAGAAGATTAAAAGGGCTGGCTTGCTTTTATTTTTATTTTTACTTTTTTTGACAGTGGAGAGATACTAGGCTAGCAACAGAAAACAATCAAAGACAGGCACACAGAGAAAAACCTCTGTTAGGTCTTTACTTTATATACGATACTTCTAGACTCTAACTCAGAACAGCAGTTAATTTCTTAGTGTAATTATGTCTTGCACTTGTGTTTGTTACATGTGGGCTTTTAACTTTTAACATTAAGGATTTGCGCCGACAGGCCGTGATGCCAGTTGCGCAATTTGGCAAAGCGTGGGCTGTTACGTTCCGTTTCAAACCTTTCCCTGTGGCATGGAGAAAGAGAGAGAGAAAGAGAGAGAAAGGAGGAAGAAAGAAAGGGGTTAGGGAATGTGGCCATCACTTCCCTGCCTTAAAACTAGGGCAATGGCAATTTATTTGGATTTATGTTACTGCCCAAATCAGTGAAAAGTAGGCTGGGCATGTCCAGCACAGGCATGGAAAGCTTTTGTTTTTTGTGCTTTTGAGGTGTGATTTAAACACAAATTTGTATTCCCGCATTTGGAGTTCATTTGACAGGGCTGCTTTTGCTAGAAACTTTGAGCATAATCTCACTGCTTTCCTGCCATCAGCTTTGCAGCTATTTTTCCATCTGAGCAGGAAGAGAAATTCAGTTCTGTACAAGAGCATAATCACTGGAAATATTTTCAATCCTGTAATATCTAGGTCAATCTACCTCTTGACTCATAAGGACAATCAACCTCAAATTTGAGCAACTCTTCTTTATGCCCATTCCACTGTCATCAGAGATTGAGTAATGAGGGCCTGAAAATCCTGCAAATGTTGACCATTAAAGAAATATCTCTAGTCAATTGAGATTAAAAAACAGTATTTTCAGGGATACAATTCTAGGTTGTGTTTATCCCCTCCTTCCAATTTGTAAGTGTTCCCGACACACTTTAATTTCAACATGAGATGATGGTATTCAACCCCTCACAGTCTGGGTTCCTTCAGGACTGGACATTTTCTGGATATTATCCTGTAGTTATGATCTGGGATTTTATTTTAGATTTTAAAGGAAATAGGGAGATAAGGAGAAGGGAGGAAAGATGAAGGAAGAGAAACGTATGAAATGTTCACATTATCTGTGCACATGTTTGATTTACTGCAAACAAGTTAATTTCTCCTGTGGTGCTGGAACACAACATAACTGTGTTAGTGCAAGAGAACCAAAAAAGTAAAAATGGCTGGACAAACAGAAGATAGCAGACCATGATAATTCCACTCTCCAGACAGAACAAAGCACAAACAAACAGCATGAATGGCGACAAACAATATTTCAAATTCTTCAGGTTCTAATTGCTTAAGGTGATACAAATAACATAGCTAAGGGATTATTTTGATATCTGACTTCTTATATTCCCTTGCATGTTTATCAAAAATTAAAAGATTCAGAATATTGCTAGGTGGGATGTTGCAACTGCAAGCTGGGCTGCCTCAGCTGTATTTAAGGATAGCCATGAAGTTTAGGAAATCTCTCTGTGCTTTGAGGATCTACCCTTCCATCTACACATGGAGAAGGGTATTAAGTCAAGAGACTTCTGTTTGACTGGAAGTAGACAAACTACTAAACAAGATTTTCAAGAAAAAAATACATAAAAATCCCAATGCAAGGGAAAGTTTCCAAAGCAAGTAGTAACCTTAGATAAAAAAATTCCTTACAGGGCCTACAGGTACCTTGGCAGTTGGAGTAATTTAAGCAAGAGAGAATGCCACCTAACACATTAAGTGAAGTTACCACCCCCAGAAAATTCCTGCACACTATGGGCTCTTTTTAGAGTATATGTTAGTGAGTGTGAAGATAGGAATGAAACTCCAGAAACAAATACTACCATTTACCAGAGTCCCCAGCAAGGACAATTACTTGTTTTTTTTTCCTTCTGTGAAGGTGTTTAAAAGAATTCCACAGATATTAGAGCTCAAGCTGGATTATTGTCCATATTAAACAGAGTTGAAATAAAGAGAAGAGAAGGAAAGCACAAGGAATAAGGGAGCAATTAATTAAATAATTCTGGTGCAAAAGTTTCTGTTATAAGAGAATTCTGTTACTTCAACTTACAGAAAATATATGGAATTCTTTAGCCAGGGATGGAGTAGGGCAATCTGGTAAAGAGTCCAAAACAATGGACTCAGGGGAAGTGCGCAAGGCAAGACTTGCCAAAACAGTATGAGACTAGCTATGTTGGACCCAGAGATCCGGAAGGTCCCAGTGCCCTTGATTTTCCCTAAGAACCCACCCATGGTTTCACCTTAGGGCTAGGGGTAAAAAGTGACAGTTACTGACTATCAGTAGTAATTTATACTGCTGCAAGCTAGGACAGGGCTTGGTTAATGCCCTATCCCTACTTCCAAGTTTTTTATAATTAGGACACTGTGGAAGGGTTTCTTTTGCTGGACTGGGGGTGAGAAGGCAGAATTAAATGCATGTAGTCTACAAATTGCATTTCCTCTTTCCACCCCTGCCAAAGCCAGGTTTGGTACAACTTTTGTATCAGTAACCAGAGCAGAGAACAGGGCCCTAAGACAGTATCAAGCAAATTTGTAACTTCCCAGTTTACATTCCCTTCAGCATTTTTAATAAATGAAACATGAAAGCGCTCTTTATTTGACTAATATTCACCAGTAATTGAGAATATTCAGTGTCATTAATGTTTCCTTATAAAATATAACACATAAGGATACATCAAAAGTGCAGTGCACAAGGCTGACAACACACAGTACACAAGGGATATCATCATGTACTTTAAATTACATCAAATAAAATATGCAATTTATAGTACATATGCTTATATATTATTGACATGTTGTTATTTTAAAATATTTCTGATACCATGTTTTATTTTCAGCATCAAGCCTTTTCTAAGGCATCTTCTATTTATGGAACATCTTTGTAAGGGCAAAATTCTAACCCCTACAGTCATGCATGGGAATCAGGCATCTCATCCACAAGTAGATTTGGTCCTAATGAAAGTCCTTTTTATACCTGCTGTTTGCTTGACAAACAGGATGTGCTTTAAGTTTCACTGTAAATTAAGAGAACTCAGTTACGTGCTTGTTGCATTTAGAATACAATGCACAATAAAATCAGTGGCAATTGTATTTCCACATCTGAGGACAGAATTAGTTCCCGGGAGGTGGGGGGTATAACTGATGTGCAGGCATTTATATGTGCACCTGTCGTGAATTACAGTGGAAAATAGATGGCAAACATACCAAGTGTGAGAATATTACTGGTTGGATTTGAACTGTAAATTACAAACTCATGTACATAACCTACCCTGAAGCATACAGGGGTCCAAAGTTCAAAACCAGCACAAAAGTCATTTTATTGTAGCAAAATTTAAATGGAGTGGGCTAGATACTGGGCATATCACAAACCCAGCAAGCTGCTTAGAATATCTAACACAAGCTCAGGTATGTTAATAGAATGTATGAAGGCTGAAAGCCTACTTTAACCAAAAGTTATTGAACTAGTTTTGGGAATCTCTAAGTAAAAGCTATTAACTTTGTTATGTAATAAACAAAGACCAGATTATCATAACCATCCCTAATAACACAAATATGTTCAGCCTTATTGGTAGAACAGCTGAAAATGGACACACACATTTCTCCAGTAGCAAAAGCAGTCCTGTACCCTCATACTGTGCATTATCTAAGAAAAGTACCCAATTTTGTTTTGTTTTGTATTAAAACATACTATGGTGATAATGATTCCATTATACCATCAGAAACAACTCCTTTACTGTATCATTTCACCTGAATCAAGTGCCAATCACAGGGTCATCCAAATAAATTGCTCATTAAATTTCAACACTACCACAACAAAATATATTTTCATCCAGTTACAGAATTTAATGAAATCACATAAGACCTGTGAACCCATTCTACAAAGCTCGCCGGTTGAAGTCTGTGTGTAAAGAGCTTGCATGACTGAGTACATGCCTCAAAAAATTTGCTCTCTATCCTATTTGCCACTTCGTTACCCTTTCAATTTAGTGCTTCTTGCAAACATTTTAGTGATTTTTGAGTAAAAGTGTTAGAATATTTAAGGAAAAAAATCAAAGTGGTGTATTTTCATATTAATGCCATTTAAGAGCATTAGGACAAGTTATCAGTAAGAAGATGGCTATTGTGCCATCTGCTAGTTGCCTACCTTGATTTCCTCAGGGCTTCTTCATCTGGGTCTTGCACTGCAGAGGAGAAAATGATTTATTTAACAAAAAACTCCTCTGTGCTACTCAGTGCTACTGTTTAGTTCAATAGCAGGTTAACCAAAAATATCACTGTAAATTTCATTTAAGGAGATACACATGGAAGCCTCGCAGCAATGCATTATGTAATCAGTGGCATTTAGTATCAGTGTCAGTGGACAGACATGAGACATTTACTACGGAGCTGCCTAATTAGCTCCGCAGTAAAGTCTCCGTGTCTACATGTGCAGTCCTATTAGGCCACAGGAAACTAATTAACTCTGCTGCAAGTTAGTACTTGTAAATACAAGTAATATCCTGCTGCAGAGTTCTTTACTATGCAGCAGTGCATGTGTAAACAATGACAAGGCTGGCTGGGGCACAAGGGTGCTTCAGTGTGGGGGCTGCCTGCTGGCTAGTCCTGCACTGAAGCACCCTCATGCCACAGCCAACCCCTCTGCAGCACCCTGACCTAGGTCAGAGCAGCTCTGGGCTACCAGCCTGACCTCACAAGCCCCCTGACAGCTGGGGCTACTCTGACCTAGCTCAATGTGCTGCGGTTCTGGGCACACATGAAAATGCAGTGCCTGGGAGCAATAAACTCTGGCGTGACATGCACCAGAGTTTACGGCTTTGCATTAATAGCATGTGTAGATGCACTGAGTCAGGTAGTAGAAGGGAAACTGCAGTTAAACTACTTTTGCAGTCATCTTTTAGTAGCCAATCCACAGCCTGTTAGAATCATGGAAGATGAACCATAAGGAAGTAATTGGATGCTCTCTTCTCATGCAGAGAAAATGAAGAGAAAACACTGGGGAAATGGTGCCTGCCTCCCAATTACAGGATAAAAATAGTAATCGACTTCCCCAAACTCTAAGCTATCTAAATCAGGAGTAAGATATGGAATGAGTACCTGATGATCAGACAAAAGAATTCCATGGACAGCAAACATGGAACCTTTTGTGCCAATGATAGGGGCAGAGTCTTATGTAGGATATTATCTAGGTAATAGGGCTGCTTGAAAATCATATGTACATTAAACCTGAAGTTTCAGGCTGTCCTGGTTTCAGCTCATCATGTAGGATCATAATGTAACTGATGCTAAATTTTTTGTCCCTCTAAGTGAATCAGCAGCTCATTAGTTTATTTCCCTGAGACCTGGGCCATTTCGCTAATTATGCTGTAGGGCTGTGTTGAATGTATTAGTCCTTATTATAACAGAATCTGAATAGGACCCAGGGGTGCTCAAAGGATTTGCCTTATACAAAGGAACATGATACATAGCATTTATGTTTCTTAGCATCCCCTTGGACTAAGATTCAGGCTCCTGTGATATTAGGTCGTATTGGAGATGATCACTGTAGGAAGGGGGTCAACTATGGAAGTCAATAGGCATAAATTTGAAATCCAAGTTTGTTTTAATTGCTGCTTGACTTACTGTACTCCGTTCCTGTCATCTGGGCAAGGATGCGGAAAGACTTTGACTGCAGATTCGCAGAACGGCGACTCCAGTCTTCAAGCTCTTCTTCAGGCTTGTTCTGAGTTTTAAGCACAGCCTGATACACTGGAGAAGCACTGTCTACATGAGGATCTTTAACAGGAAGTGTACTGCAATATAGAGAGACATGCATTATAAAACAGCACTTGCTGGGTTGACCCCACTTCTCCCCACCATCATCTTATGGTTTTTCTTCAAAAATGAGCAGCAGAAAAATCCCATACCTCCATTTTTCCGAATAACAAATAACCTATAGTAGATCAAAAAATATGGGAGTAAAGAATATTCTAGCTTACACTGTCTGAAAAATCATTATTTTTCTTCAAACCAGCATGTGTGCCTTTTGGTCAATGGATATAGTAGTCTGTCCATGATCCCTAAGCCAATGCAACAACAAAGTTATATTGAGCACACAACTACAAATGCACCCACCAACAAATGTTCATGACACCACATAACAGCAATTGAGTTAAGCTCTTATTTGATTTATGATGCAAACTGGAAGCAGACACAGTAATTTAATAGCTTTTTTTCCATAAGAGCATAGCTTTTGCATAGTGCACAGTTAAAATTAAATATTAACAGAGCAGCAGACACATAACACTGATGATGATGTGTGCAGTCATGTAATAACTTGGCTCCATGGCTCCTCTAAATGCAAGATCTATTTTTGAAGTGAATGATTTATTGGAACTTTTTTAATGTGCTATGCCACAGAGCATTGCAAGCACCATGCTCAACTTCATGAAAACTGAGAAATGGCTATTTTAAATATTAACAGCTATATGGTTCAGTGAGCTCCCTGGTGTAAAGTACAGGGAATCAGAGAAGCCACTTATTATAAAACTTGCCTCTCAAAATGAGGCTCAAACTTCCTATATGGAAAGATACCATCCTGCAGATAAGACCTATAAAAAATAATTTAAAAAAACAACAACCCCAAGGCCCCATAGTCTTACAGACTGAAAGGAATCAAGAAAAAGCCAAAATAGCATTTATATGAAGGGACCTACTAAATTCATGATTTTCACAAAAACTGTGGATTTGGTCAGTCAGGGAAAAGTATGGGGACTGTGAAAAGGCATGAAATTGGCAACAAGTTGTGGAGGGAGGGGCAGGGAAGAGGCTGCTGCAAAAATAGAAAAGGGCAGAAAGCCCTGGCATCCTGAAGCATGGGGGAAGGAAGGGAGAGTGGAGATTTTCATAGGGGTGCGGCACCCCCTCAGCCCCCCAGACTTCTAACTGATCAAAGGGCCTGGAGATGGTCATCTGTCAATCTCCAGGGTGGAGCAGGAATTCTGGGGCCCCTGGGCCAATCAGAGGTCTGTTTGTGAGGGGGGGCAGCATGCTTCACTGTGAAAATGGTGGGTATCCAGGCTAGCACTGTGCTCAGCATATGAAATTGGGGGGCAGCCACCCTGAATTCAGCAGGTCCCTATTTATCTGATATCTTGTGAAGAATAATGACATTTATCATACTGAAAAATAATGCCAATTCCTAGTGCCCAGGGCATCAGCTATCTACTATTGACAGGCATCCCTGCTTTAGCCTTGCATAATATGAGCCATGACAATGGATCTGAATCTGCTAATACAATAGTGAAATGTTTTACAAGGGGCCTGGATACACTGCATGTACTAAAGTATTCCATTAATCCCTATTTCAATTTCTGGCACCTGTGAAACACTTGTATATTACACATTAGGGCTGTATGAAGCTTCGGTCCCCGATTCAATACGGCAGAATTAAATCAGACGACCCTTTAATCTCTCCTAATTGAATTGGAACCCTCCAAATCAATTTGGAGAGATTCTGAAAGATTTCGAGATTCGGCCATAGACACAGCTTTAAAAGTTTTTTTCTACATACCTTGAGGTAGCACAGGTTGTGATTGCTGCAATGCTGGGGTACATGGAGGGTCCCACAGAAGCATGGGGGGCTCCTCAGTGTGCTCAGCAGCAGACCTGGAAGTGGACCAGAAGCATTTCTGGTCCACTTCTGGGTCCACTGGGGAGTGCGCTGGGGGGGCCCCCTATACTTCTGTGGGACCCTCCATGTACCCCAGCATTGCAGCAATCACAACCTGTGCTACCTCAAGGTATGTAGAAAAAAACTTTTAAAGCTGTGTCTATGTCCAAATTGCCGATTCTCCGAAGCAGCATCATGTGGATGTGGATTTGGCTGAATCGAATCAGGGACAGTGATCCAAATCAATGAACCAAATCACTGTCCCTGATTAAGGCCAAATTCAAATCAAATAGGGCCTACTCTGCACACCCCTATTGCACATCATGTCCTTTAGACTGCTTTCCAATGGGGGTATTTGTACTTGAACCACACTTTTTGCTTTCCTGAGAATCTGACAGGATACAACTTAAATTTCTTATTTCCCTGAACATCATAACACAATGGGCAAATAAAGTAGTCAATGGAGGGTGTCTTTCTGTGTAAGTCCTGCAAAAAATGACATGGCAAAATCTGTTATCAGGAAGATTCAGTGATGCTCTCTCTCCCCTTCCTCCCCTATTCCCCCACCCTGCTTCTTCCTTTTCTTCTGTCTAGCTTAACAGTTTTTCTACAGCATCATTCTTTATAATCTTGAAAAACTGAGAGTTATGGAAGTATAGAGGAAGACTAAAAAGGGAAATGGTCCTGTTGTAAACTACATCCCTCCCTCACCGAAGCTCTGAAGGGAATCCTGACAGAAGACAGGGACAGCATCACCTTCCCTCAACCTACATGATAGTAGGCCTGACTGGTATAGGAAAGTATAATTTCCCTTCCAGTCATGTGTCACAGGGCACTAGGGTGTCCTGCTCCTTTAAGGGCTGAAACTGCTAGGGAGAGAGCCCCAGCTGCTGGTTACCAGGGCAACCAGCATGTGATAGTTGGCCCACACCTGCCAGCCGGTCAGCTGACCAGAAGGGGCAGGGCCTGGCATATATATAACCCCCAGGGCTGAGGACATGCAGGCAGTTCCCTGCTAGTAGCCAGAGAGAAAGGAGCCTCCAGGGAGGAAGTGCCCAGTGATGCAGCAACTGCCTGATGCGCTGCACCTAGGGCTAGTGGGGCTCCATGAGCTCTGCAGGTACCCTTTCCTACTAGACACTTAGTGCCGGGGATGAAGTTTGATGCTTTTAAAGGGGCAGAGCACACCCTGGTCTTTTGTATTATGTTATAGTCCAGAGGCTTATGTTTGTTTGCTGTTTATAATACCGGTGGTTTGGGAGAGGCTATTGGGGAAGGAGGTGGCCTCATTGGGGGCCCACTACAGTGTGGGGACTCAGGTGCCAGTGGGGCGCAGCGATAGGGCTGCGGAGAGCCCAGGCACCAGTGGGGTGCAGTGACAGGGCTGCGGGGAGAGGACAAGAGAGCCAAATCACAGCAAGGCCTAGACAGGACAACGTTGATGCCATCTGCGAGGCTTGAGGCATAGCAAAGGGGCGGTTGGAGCCACACATATAGCCGATGAGGCTGGGGTGTCCCAGGACACCTATTTTGCAATGGGACCCACAAGGGGTTCAGGGAAGTCCATCAGGACCATGCCCAAGTAGACTTAAAGGCAGCCTCCCTACTCAGTACAATTACATCAAGACATCGTGGGCGAGAATAGAGGGTGCCCAGCAGGCCGAATTAGCACTGTTGAAGGGGCCTAGGGGTAACACAGCCATCCTTGAGGACCCCATCCCGTGACATCATGGCACAGCAGAACCCAGCCTTACATTGCCTTAAAATAGAAACAGCTTAAGTATAAGGGATAATAAAGACATTTTGTAATGTTAATAGAAATTAGAGTGTTATTAGGACCATTCAGTTGCCACAGCTCTCCAATCAAACTATTCTTTATAATGAAATTTGGTTAATTCACTACTTTAAGTATTTACAAATTATCCAGTGCTGACCAATTATCAGGAGATCATAATTGAGGGAGGGAAGAAAGGTAAGAGTTTCTATCTAGGAATTCAAATCAGTGACAAATTAAACCAAAAAGGCAAAGTAACTCACAGGTGAATTACCTAAAGTTTACTATATTTCTAGCATGAAATCCAAAACAATAAACAAACTTCTCTGAATCTTTGAAAAGGATCTTGTGAAGGCTTCCCAACAGGTTTCACAATTTTCATGTTTTCAACTGTATTTTATGTGTTCATTTCTTTATTGTCTTCACAAGCAACATCTCTTGCCTTTTTTACTGCACTGGATGATTAACTACCTACTGCTGGCTAACAGTTGATTAACTTCCTATCCCCAGTCCCACTGGAGCTTAAAACACTGCTCTGTCTGATGGTAAATTTCACAGCTGTCAAGTGATGGATAGTGGGTAGTAAGTCCAGTAGGTAGATGGTACATCAACTATCAGAAATGTACTATTGTGACAACATTGGCATTTGGGTCATGGACAGACAGCCCGGTTCATTAGGCTGAATACTCAAGCTAAGCTGCTTTGTTCTTATAACTGATTTACAAAAAGCTTAATTGAACTGTAAATACAGAAACTCCCATTAGCTCAGATGTGGTTGTCCAGCTGTAGAGACTGGGTCAGGGATTCCAGATTGGCAACATGTATCATGGCACAGTAATATTTTTACAGTAGACAATCAAAACAGGAAATGGAGTCTGGTATTAACCTTTCCTTGTGGAGAGAAGTACTTGACTACATCAAATTATGTTATATAGCTGAGCATAAATGTACTGGAATAGTTCCAACTCTGGTTTTTAATGTAATATGTCATTATCATTTTTGAAACATAATTATACCACAAACAACAAAGGGGATATATGAGCCAGTCATTTAGAATGGCAGTGTAAAATATGAAGTACTACTGGTGATGTCATTCCATAAACTTAGATGAGAAACTTGACTCTTCCAGAAAACCTGATAATGGAGATAGTGAGAGCTAAGCAGTGACTACTACACCTTTCCCTTATTTTCAAGTTATTTTCTGTGTGTGCGCACATACTACTGAAAAAGGCACACCACTGAAAAACAATTCTACCCAAGTGGTTAAATGCTCTTCAGGGTTTGCACATTGCATCTTTGTGTATTTTATTAGACTTTAAAAGAAAATAATACTTTTGTGTGTATTACGTTCATATCACATTTGATTTGTATCAAAATAGGCTCTATAAACAGTTTAAACCTCTTTAAATAAAGAATGAGATGATTGTTACTTCCACTTCATTATCAGCTATAGTAAACATATAGACTACCTAACTAAAGTCTTTACTTGAGTTTAATTTAACCCTTACTCAGGTAACTAATGCCTGAATAAAAACTTAGGAAGAGGCTCCCAATTTGATTCCTGATTTTAAAAAAATCTAGCTGAATAACTATGAAGTAGGATAGTGCATCTTTATGACTATTGAACAGATGGCACCTGGATTTCAATTATTAACAAAAGAGTTATTGAAATGAACAATATTTTGTGAGCAATTGTAAAGTATCAACCACTTTCATTTGCTGTAAAAAGCTAGGGTTTCAATAGGTTGATTAATTCATTTTTTCACTTTAACCAAGAAGGTTAAGTCCCTTGTTAGTGTTAGGTGTTACACTATGAGTGACTCAGATGTCACTGGATTTGTGTGTAATTATATAAGAAGTAAATTTGGCCAACATTCCTTTAATGACTTTTGAAAGAGGTTCTGCTGAAATGCACATGAAACACATATGTGTTCTCATAAAGATCAACTCTTGGTTCTTAGTATAAGTTAAAAAACAGCAACATGAGCGTAAAGAAGAACAAGAGCACTGTAAAGATGGGGCATTACAACTTTGCTACCTTTTTAAGTTCTGGCATGAGGTTTTAATAATTCCAATGTAAGCAACTGCTGGAATGCTTTCCTTGACAATGTAGTATAGTTACACTCAACAACATGACCTTTTTCATATAATCTTTGATGCCACTGATTTCGAATAATAAGACCAGAAACAGTCCCAATGAAAAAAAATATGGTAGTATTCTTCCTTCATTGCTATAGAAGCCTAAACAGTGTTCCAGGGCCTGAGCATCATTGGAATTCTCTCTCAAACGGAAACCACACCCTTCATATTTGGAATTTGAACCCACCGACAATATAGCATACCATTCCTCATCCTTTTATTTAATCCTATGCCAAAGAGGAGTTTAAAAGTGTGGAGCTGAATTCTTTGTGGAGAATTAAGACTAAAGGAGTTAGGCTCATTCAGAATTTGTTCCACTATTTAGGATTACTGTTCCTATAGTTATTTTTACATTTAGCAGAAAAAATGCTTATTTCAGACCTGAATCAGCAAACTAATATCCTCAGCTTTCACTGTAAACTGGACTTCAGAATAGTCAGCACATTACAGGAAGCAAAAGCAATGCGTTAAAGACTAAAGCCAATGGTATTAACAAACAAATATAGTCTAATTGATGGTCAAGCCTTTATTTTAAAGACAGTCTGATCAGAGAGAATAGTATGAAGTTTGCTTTCATGTCTAAATATAAAAGAACTATTAAAAGCACATACTTAATCTACTAGGGGAAATGGACAATCATGAAGTAAAAAACTACGAAGCTCGAAAAAGGTGTGCAAGCAGGCTGGAGTTCTGAGCATTGCTTATTTACAGAGCTATCTGGATCTGACAACTCATCATGATAGAAGCACTACTCTGCTGGATGAAGCCCAGCTCACTCAGTTGCTGGGCTTGTGAGTCACTCTTCAAAAGGCAAGCTAATGGCTGTACATTAGTTCATGTAGCAAAGCTTCCACAGCAGCTTTTTATTTAAGGTCAAAGGGAGACTGTAGTCTTGGACATATCTACCAAGGAATAATGGCTCACTAGAGATACCTATCTAATCCACAAAGATAAATATAAATTATTATTTCATTTCTAAACACCCTTTGAAGTGTAAGATGCAAAATGGGAAAAAACCCTATGTATGAAAAGAACTGTGGCTGGTAGCACCAAAGAAATCAGTGGAGTGAGGCCATGTATTTTATACAATACACCAAGAGCTGATTCTCAGCTCTCATTTAATTGCATTTATGTCAGTTTGTCATTTATGCAGTTAAAGGCACATACTTGTGTTTGTGGGTGAGAGAGATGTAGGCCTTTACTACTACTCAATTTTCCCATCCTCTAAGAAAAAAAGTGTGTCAATAGTGCAGATTTTCCCCCATTACAAAATTCATAATGTTCTCAACTCCATCTTTACTTAATGGACGTTCTCTCATCTTATCTGGGATTTCTGGAAGGAGCAATTTTTCCTCCCTTTGAAGCATCAAGTGCTGGGCTCTTCAGCAGGCAGGACAAAATGGACTGGTGCTCTGATACATTGCAGTAGATGTTTGCTTTGAACTGCACCAGATAGATCCTGTGTGTGCGCCATCTATTAAATGAGAGATTCCACATGCTCAACAGTTAAATGGTACAATCCTGGGCATGTGTTACAATTTGTATTATATGACTTTACATCAGTTTGTTAAAAGGGCTAATATATAATAAAATGCCTCCATATATCTATGAAAAAAGTGAACCCCTTTAGAGTACACACATGCACTGCCCTTCTGTACTCTGCCAGTTAGAAATATGGATCTACTTACGCCAATGGAGATTCACTGAGAGTCATATGGTCAAAATGCAACAAAAGGTATTGTGTAGGATCCATCATTAGCGAGAGTCGTGATGCACGCAAAAGAGTAATGTTAGTATCAGAAATTAGTGAAAAGGGAATGAATAAAAGAAAAAAGAAGAGAGAAATGATCAATAAAAGGTAGCATAAGTAAATACATACAACATTAGCATTTTGAATAATCCTTCTGTTTGTTAAAAGTATAGCATGTTTGCTCCTATAATTTCAAGACAAGATTAAAGTTTTCTATTCTACACAGAAAAATGTATTCTAAGAAAGGCATAGGGCTGCACATAGCTCTTATAAAACCAGAGGAGTTATTTCATAGATCTGATTATACTTGGGGAAGCTTGAAAGAAAATCAAATAGTTTGTCAAGAGCAAATCCCTGATCCTGCAATCAAGGCAGACTGGTGACCTTGCAAAAGTCCATTTACTTCAGTGGGAGAAATAAACAGATTACAGCCTTAATTTGTTTGGTCCACATCATTCATCCACAAGTTTTGCTGTATAGGAAAAAGTCAGGCTCCAATTCATCTGCCACTTAACATTGTTTCACACTGGTATGATCTACTGACTCAGTGGGGATCAAGGGGGTTAATTCTTCATTTATTTCAGTGAGAGAGAGGAATCGGGTTTCAGAAAAGTGTATTATTCAATAACTTATAGCATACCCTTTTAAAGGCATATTTTTTATTCATTAAATCCATGTGATGCTTCTTAGAGTTAGACTGCTATTGTGAAAATATTTGCTTAAATAATTCTGAAGATACATACTGACAGGTACAATATATGTTATTAAGGAAAGTTGTTCTTGAACATCAGATCTCATCAGTCCTCCTTAGGCGAAACCTGAAATTGCCCAGAGCACAAACAGTGCCTGATTGAGGACTGCCAACTCTGGCCTAGGAAGAATAAGCTTTTGAAGTTTCTTTTAGACGACCATGTCCCTTATATTAAAGAGCAAAGCCTTGACTCCAGTGGGAGTTTTGCATCTATATACCTTTGAGGGTAACGACTCAAAAGATAGTTGAATGGTAACGACTCAAAAGATAGTTGAATGGATACTGGCAATTTACAGCTAGTTTTGGGTCTTATCTACAGACAACATTTCTTAAACCAGTAAACACCATGCAATTATACTTGTATGCCCTAAAAGCAGCAAAAAAGTCTATGTAAAGAAAGGAAAATAGCAAACATCCTGGGCTGTGACCCAGAATGCATAATTTCTATTTGCAACAAAAGGCTTTGATGTAGAAGTCCCTGAAAAGACATGTACACACCAACCTGAGCTCAGACACTGTTCATCTATGCCTCTTACAAGAGCAGGTCTATGAAATTGGGTCATTCTCTAGGGCAATTTCAGAATCCCAGCTGTCAGCTGACCTTCAGTTTCAGGTAGCTGAAGCTGGAATTCCAAATGATTAGAGGACAAAAATAAGCTGTTGTTTTCTTGTTACCTATTTTTATTTCAGGCTGGAATAAGAATAATTTTAAGGGAAGAAAGGTCTTCCGTCTCCTGGAATATTTTAGACTTGAGACTAAGAGAAATAAAAATTGGAAAAACACAATTATGAAGTACTGTAGGTAAAGCTGAGGATACCGAAATAGTTTAAAGATCCTAGATGATACCAGATTTCAATCCAGCTATATAACATGTTTGCATAAAACATATGCCTTTGGTCCCTTTATGCTGGATTTGTTCAAGATAGGCTGTTTACATATTCCTTTTGCACACCATCATTAAACTTCTGAGGGCTGAAAAAGCCATAGAACCATTAAGAAAAGCAATGATAATGTACAGTGCTGCAAAAAATCGAATGTGCCTATTAAGAACAATAGAGGATCCTGCTATCCCTGCTTTCCATATACAGAAACATCCATCTGATTGCCAAAGACAACAGAGACAGGTAAGACACCCATATATAACTTAGACCAGGGTGGAGAAGACTAAAGTTATTACTTCTTATTGGTATACATAGTCCTGCAAAAAGATCATTTTTAACTTAAATATCTTCTCATCTGTGAAATATCCAGGCTTCTAATAATCCTAAACAAGAGGTTTCAAGAAAATAGCATTAGTATTACTTAAAATTAAATGATGATAACTTGAGAGGGCTCCATTCTAAAAGAATGGAAAAATAACGAATAATAAATGCATATATTGCACTTTTACATGCTCATAACATCTGTCTTCGTCCCATGAATGTTGCGCTATGAAAACAATGCAAAAGTTACACTTAAAAGATTATAGGGCACATCATAAAAATAATAACTATCCATATATCCTCCTCCCCATTTATATTTTTCCTACAGGTGAAGCATACAAAGTAGATATTCATTTGCATTGTGATAGAAAAATATATATTATACTTGAATAACTTCAACTTTTATGCTTAAGTAATCCTCTGTTTTTCTGAGGTCAAAAGTGAATATCATTCAAACCCAAACCCAAAATCTGCTCTCAGTTATACCAGGGTGAAAACCAGAAGACCTCATTCAAGTCCATGGAAATACTCTGGCTATATACCCTTGTAACTGAGAACAGAACCCAAATTGCAGAGGTTGCTTAAAGAAAGCATATCTACTTAAAAACAAAACAAAAACACTTAAGTGATAAAGCAATGAATTCCTTATAACAATAATTTGATGGCTCACTTTTGTAATCCCACCCCAGAAACATCTCTCCCTCTCAGATTTGTATGCTTCCCGGTTTCTCAGATGAGTGTGTGTTTCTCATTCCACATGTTTAACCTGCATCCATAACAGCTGGAGGAGACAGACAGTCCATTGGTAATAAATGGCTCTAAGCAGTTTCTAACAGTTTTTCAGTAGGTCAAATCTGGTGCTTATGCTACTGAACAAGGCAGCTCTAACCAAGGATGGCTACACTTAAGTGAGACAGGCTGGGAATGACAATGTTTTTTGCTTCAGGCAACATATACAGATGGCCAAATTGTGCCACACATTATAACACTGAACTCTCTGATTAGCCCCATATATTTCAACAGACTGGTGCAGTAAAGTTATTACCTAGTATGAATGGTGGCAAAAATGTGACGTTAAATAAGGAAATTACCTAAATAATAGGGTATTTTGAAACATGTTTCTGACAGATTTTGTTTAATGATGGCAGTTCATCTCACTCCTTAAAACATCTATTGCCATCATGAAAGAACCATATGCAGGTTTCCCTCAATTTATCTTGTACATACATTCCTGAAGAATGGCGCATAAATCAAATCCACAAAAAGTGAACTCACTTTACAATGCAACAAATAGGGATAGATTCCCATAGTGGGGAGGGAGTGAGTGAGGCTGGGACTAAGGAATGGGGCAGGGGAGGAGTGCTACTCCCAGGGCTGCACAAGGCAGCAAAGCAGAAGGAACAGAGAAGCACTCACCCCAGCCCCAGGAGCTACCAGCACCAGCGGCCTGCAGCCGCTGGGCTGCACCGTGCTCTGCCTGTCCCCACTCTCCTCTGCTCCTGGGCTGTGCCATGCACTAGTGCAGGCAGCTGCTGCAGCTGGGGCGAGTGCTGCGCCCTGTGCCACCCAGGGCTCCACTTGTCCTCACTCACCCCAGCCTGTGCTGGAGCAGCCCTAGGAGTAGCCAACACCAGCTGCCTGCACCATGGCACAGCACAGCCCAGGAGCTGGGGTGAACCCAGGCATGGGTGGACAGGTGGAGCACAGTGCAGCCCAGTGGCTGCAGGCAGCTGGCACTGGCCACTCCTGGGGCTGCTGCAGCCGGAGCTGGGGTGAGCGTGGCTATGGCCCTTTCCCTTCCACCCACAGACTTATGTGCTTGGGCAGGGCGGGGAGGGGCTCATCTATTCTGATCGCATAAGAGCGAATTTACTTTGCATATAATGAATTATGGGTCTAAATATGCTCATTGCATAAGAGCAAATTTGCATATAAAGAACCTGCATAAATCGAGGGAAACTTGTAGATTTATGTACATGAGTCACAATACATATACACATAAATACAACCACACATGTATGCGTGTATGACCCTATGGGATTTATGACATTTCTGTTAGGCATTATGGCTCCCAACTCTAGAAAAAATATTGAAAAGGGAATTACAAATTTACAGTTCTATACTGCCTGCCTTCTTTTAGTTTTAAAGGCATTAATTGCACTGCATAAACTTTGAAAGAAATACTAAACTCTATTCTTCTGCGTACATACAATGCTTCAGAGAAAAGGATCAGGGGAAGGGAATGGTGTACATGCACAGGACGACTATTTGATGTCATGCATACAAGGAAATAACCTTACCCAGCAAATTCACCACCTTGGGCCTGTGCCTGGCCTGCAATGGCATCCATGATGGCATCCTGGGAATACATGCTGATCGGGGTATTATACTGGGCATGAATTATAGTAGCCTTGCCACCTGGGCCTTTCACCTCAATAGGTTTGTGTGTAGACAGGGCAGAGTCCTTCAAGACATTGGGGTTGAAGCGTTCCACATACTCCGTGCTAGGGTTATATGAGAGTAAATTTTGGAAAGGGAAAAGAGAGAAGGGGAAGAAAAGACAAAGGGGTGAAAATAGGTGAAAGATAAAACAACAGCGGAGGAACATGCATGTGCTCATGACATCTCATCCCAAAAGCTTGAATACAGACCAGAACAGAGACAGAACACATATGTTGTAACGTAATTAAAAGGGGCCTTCTAAACTTCTAGAAAGTTTAATGCATCGATGTAGATGCCTATTTCTCCTATTTAGAGGGTTATAAAATTTCTACATGGTTAATTAATCATGGTGATATTTACTAATAAACATTTTTAATCTTCCAACACTTCACAGACACTGTATAATTAATCCTTATAGAATCTTTGTCCAGAAACTGTGAAGGTTACCAAAAAATGTCACCACATCTTGAAGCTAAACTCTATCTGTATTTCCTAAATAATAGTTGAGGTGGCAATTAAAAGTGATGTATCATGGGATAGTTACACTTTATAGTGACCTCCATTGTGGGTAAAGTTTTTTAGTAGAGAAACTGTCTACACAGGTCAAGTGATACATCCAAAGCCACAATCTCTCCAGTTATGGAACTCAGAGGTCCAGGCTCTCATACTTATTTGATATATAATGATATACCTCTTATGATTTACTTAGTTTTCTTAAGCTACTGTTTTATACTCCAAATCTTCATTTAACTAACTGCCTCTACCTAGCCTGTGGGAGACCTGCACAAAACACTAGTACAATATCCTTTATCTTTCCCCTCAGACCTGCCAAAAAAACAGGGGCATCCCTGAGTGCTGCAGACACTATATGCTACCTTACGTTGGTTGAAATTCAGAATGTCCAGTCATAGAAAAAAAAACAGGTTGTGTGAAGGAGTCATTCTAGTTCAACCAAAACTAGAAGCAAATAACTTATCGACAAAAAAAAGAAACGATGAAAATTTTGCTTTTTGAAAAGAAAATAGGTATGTTTTAATTTTTCAAAAATGAAAGAAGAGTTGGGTACTCCTAACTGCCCTAGCTAACCTTATGGTTAGGAGCATTCTAGGCTTCAAACAGAGTCCAAAACTCTGGGAGCCCCCATCTCAATTTTGCCATCCGAGGGTTCAGGACTGTTAGGTTCTCTGCTGCGAAGAGAGCAGCTTAAAACAGTCTCATCTCAAACTGTCCCATTTTGTCAAGATTTTCCCATACCCTCCTGCTGAGCCAGGAGCTTAGCCCCCAAGAACATCTCCTAGCATCATGGTCTCCCAAGCTTACAGACTTCTGACTCCATGACAGGGAGCCTGATACCCTACACTCCTCAACACCAAAAGAGTCCATGTGGAAAGACTGTCTTAGAATCATGGGCTCTGAAAGCAGAAGATAAGCTACTCACAAGGTAAGCAAGAAGGAAACCAGCATAAGTTTCTGATGTCTGCTGAAACTAAATTTGTTTCAGCAGAAGTTCACCAAACTCCAAACATTTCTGCAATAAATTTTGATTTCTACAAACCAAGATTTTTCAGTGAAAAATGGTTACATCAGAACACTCCTCCTGACAAGCTTACTGTTAAAAGAGTGGAAAATGTTCCAGCTGATTCGCTAACAACAGGCACATCTACATGTGCGCTTAAATTTGCATTATCCTATTTTAATGCACGTCACTAAAAAAAGTACTATTTAGCTAATGCACATTCAAATAGTTTAATACACACATTGTCACTTAAAAACCATGGGCATTTTTACACATACAAGCACTGCAGTGCTGGGTGCTTCAAAAAGTGCCCAGTGCTGTGACACTTGCAGTTGTATAAGTGGCGAAATGCACATCAGCACTGAGAAAATGGCAGCAGTACGCTTTGGAACTAAAACGCATAGAAGGTGCTTTAGTTCAAAAGCACACTGCCACCATTTTCTGCATGCTGATGTGCATTTTGCTGCTTATAAAACTGCACATAGTGCAGCGCAGTTCGCATCAGCTCACATGTGGAGCAGACTCAATTAATCGAATCTGCTCTGAAGCAGTGGATCTCCGGTGCACCATGGGACAAAAAAGTATGTGAATAAATGCCCTGTGCTCTTTAGTTAATGCACATTAAGACAGTTTAGTGCGTATTTTCCTAGTACCTCATAATGGAGGTGCTAGATTTAATGTGCATTAACTAAAGTGTGTTAATGCATGAATAGACGCGCCCACTGATAACAAGTCCTGCTTTCTAGGAGTCACCATCTTCCGAGGTCCAAAGGATGGTGGACAAAGTTTGTTCCCATGGATTCAACATGCACCCCAACCCTCAGACAAGGGGGAATAAAAAAGCCAGAAAAAAAATCTCTTCCTACAAATTGAACAGATCCTTATCAACTAATTGACTGGAAACTTCCCTGGCTATCAGTGGATTCCATTTAACTTTGCTTTAAAACAGTCTTTTGTTCAGTGAGATGCCTTAGGTAGGAAGGATAATAGGAGAGAGATAATTGAGCAGTATGCCAAAATATTTTAAAAAGAACATCAACAGCAGCATGCAGAAGGAAGAGACACATGCCATGTTACAATCAGAGCTGTGTAATACATGCATAGACATTTTGAGGGGGGGAAAGGATGCATTATGCATTCAGCATAAATTAAAAGCACAATTACACATATGTTTTCAGTACTTTAAATGTCTGTTCATTAACACACAATTAACCTAATAAAACTACTTTTTGATAACAGCTTTATATGGAGCAATTCATGAAAAGAAAGAGAAAGAAGCTGCATGTTGTGCCCAGGTTTTTTTTTTTTGAAACACTCTCATACCTTGTTATAGTAACGTCTTCTTTTACCCTTGTAATGCATAAAGCCATGAGACAACAGTCTGGAATGTGTAGATTGTTGAGAATAAGAAATGTGTTCTCCTTTCTCCTATCAAAGAACTTCCATATCTGAGAACCAGGAGTGTCTGTGTAGGGTCATCAATTTAGTTTTCCAAACATGCCATATTTTGGAAAATGTCTAAAAATGCAGACCAGAGCAATTAACTTAAAAAAACCCCCAGTTCTTACACTCTGCAAAAAAAAAAAAAAGGCTTGAGGTCAAGGATGACTACAATTCCCATAAACACTAGTGATTTTAGTTTTGGAATGTGGAACTGAAACAATTTTACCAATCTTTTAGAAAAATGGGGCTCCAACCTACTGTTCTAATTAAGCCAAAACTTTCATTGAAATCAACAGGTACTTTTACAGAAAGAATCATAAATGCCATGGACTTTAAACTACCGAGTTTCCGTTACAACATCTGATAAGGACAGGATAATGCCAATATGAGATGCCTCGTTGAAAGTGGAGATCCAGAGCCAACAGAAGCAAAGGACTAAAAGCTAAGAGCTGGGGTTCTGCATTAGATATTGCTGACAGGACATTCAGCAGGTGGGCAAATTTGTGTAATTTATATTCCCAGATGACAAAAAAATGATTGTAAACAGAGGAAGTAATAAACAAAGTGCAGTATAAAAGAGGCCACCACATGTGACTCATGGTACATCAGCCCCAATACTCCATCCCCAACTTAAATGGACAAAGAACTGCTCGCTTCAGTGGAAGCAGTATGCATCTGTATCCACTTACTCCAAGGATTGAGTGTGGTCAAAGAAAGACAAATCCATGTAAGCTATCCCTATTTTGCTCATTCAAGAAATATAATTTTCAGTTAAACTACTCTTGCCACATCCACCAAATACGTTACCAGTTTAAACTTGATATTTTACTTGTACCACTATTTGCTTGATGGTTCAGTTTAGAGTTTAAGTTTCCAACATTTATGGATCTCCAAGATGCTGAATGGTCATGGGCACTTTCTGGAACTCTAAAGTGTTGGATGGTAATGGGCAAGTTCCATGGCAGAGGGATACAGTAAAAATGTAGAAAGAATCTTTTGCTTCGTTTTTAAAATTTAGGGTCAAAGATGACTAAACTTAAGTCAAATCATCAGGTCTGTACTAAATTTCCAGTGAAGTCAAATACTTCTTAGATTAAAAAAAAAAAAAAAAAAAAAAAAAGAATACTGAAGTCAATGGGAATTTTGATGGAACAAGATTTCAAGATTCGTTTCCAGCCTGAGAGTAAAGAAACATGTGCAATTATATTAAGAAAAAAAGCCTGTGATCAAGGTCCACAAAATCCTGAAAACATCAAGATTACCCAAGAATTAAGAAGAATGGTACATTTAAAGCAGGAGCTTTAAAAGATCTGAAAAGAGTTTGCAAGAGTTAAACAAGCTCAAATCTAACAGTGCAAATGCAGCTTAGGACATCAACACAAAACACCAAACACCTAGCAGAGTTTCAGGGATATTCTTAGAACAGGACCCCACTGGATACAGTAGCAATGTACAATGCTCAGCACACCAATGAGATTTTTTTAAAAGCTCTCTATCTGCTAGCAGGCAAAGCAGAAAACAAGGGCTCATGCTACCCCAAAGAAAACAACTCTTCATACAGATAGTATAGCATGTCCACATTATTTGATACTAACTTGGCAGCTGTGTTGGCTATGACCTAGGGGAAGAGAAAAGAGAACAAACAACACGAAGGGAAAAAATAGAGAACGACAGTTTTAGAGTGTAAAGGGCAGAACATATTTGCCAGGGCTTAATACTGCTTTTTTTTTCAAACTGTCTACAAATAGGAATAGAAAGCTACTATTAGCCTGAAAAATTGCAATGTGATCAAGAGAGGAAAATATGTAGGGTTTAAAGTGTATCCACAGAGATTTAATAAGGTACCAAACATTTTGGCTGACTCTTGACATGTTTTTCTTACTGTGCATCACTGGAAGTATGATTTTGGGGAGCTATGGAAGCAAGGAAGTAGAGCTCTCTATAGGCTGTACACTCATCTGAAAATAATTTTGAGTGGCAGAGATTATATTTTCTCCTAGACTCTAAATGCGATGCCATTCCCATTAGCCCAAACACAATAGTGCCAACTGTAAGCACGATCTGCAAGCATTTTGTTTGCTGTAGAATATCCAAGTAAAGATC